AGTCAGCCCTCTCCATTTACGTGTGCAATACTAACTCTTAAGTAATGAAATCCTTCTCTTCTCTACTTAAGGTTATAGCCCTACAGTATTGTTTCTTCCAGGAGATAAAAGAGTCCTTCTTACCCATAAAATTCTCTTCTTAAAAATAACTTCCCTACAAAATCAGTGTTTGGTAAAAAGCAAATAAGCTTAAAGTTCTTTAAAATTACTCATTTTTAATAAAATATATTGATTTTTATTGCTTTACAATAAAAACCCATTTTCAGAATTATCTAAAGGTGGCTGACATTTGTGACCACAAAAGAGAAAACCACATCAGACAAGTCAGGATTCTGAGTCCCTCCTCCTCCCCCACCCCCCAAAAAGCAATTAATATTTTAAAAGCAGAGAGTGAATATACATATGAAATATACATTATGTACTTACATAAACTAAATTAACATTGTAACTGGACACCGTGAGTCAACAGCTTCAAACTAACAATGGACCCATTTATTCAAAGTAAGATAGTTGTCTTCCTTTCAGCTTAAGGGGCCTGCAGGGTGTTTCAGCCTGTTATCCAGGAGAGCAACTGCAGCTGGCCTGTCTGGAGAAGCGTTTCCTGCGTTCACAGCTTAGCTGGGAGTCAAACCATAACACTGTACTGAAAAATGGCAGAAAAACTGGAGGTATTCAAATTCCTTCCCTTGAGGACCACTTCAATTAATGCCTTTTTGAAGAAGCAAATCCCTCTAAATACAAAAGATTTACACCCACTAAACCTGAAAAGCACTGGCCAACATGTTTGTCATTTCATGAAATCCTGTCATGAGATAGGTGTAACACACTATCCGGTACTGCAGGCTGGTGCTTAGTTCTTTACCATATTAATTCTATACTCCCCAGAACTTCATATCTTTTTCAGTGGCTTCTAGGAGGAATGTCCATAACTTCCAAGTATATGAATTCCCAGCTAACTATTTCACAACTGTCTTTCTGTATTCTGTGATATCTCCCCAAACTGAGTTCCATATATGAGAAAATGTCTATTTATTAAACTTTTTAACTCGAAATGAAACTGTGTCTGAACTTACAACAATTTATTCTCCTCTAACCCTTGGGAATCAATGTCAATGGAATATTTTTTAAAAATCTAACCACATTCTAAACTCCTAAAGCAACTTCTAAAGCATGTCTAGTGGAGAACTGGGTGATCAGCGGAGAAATCCAAGTTCTAGTAATGAAGACGCTCTGGGGTCACACAGCAGATAACGACACAGCAGGTACTGCAACTTTGAGATCTTGAATTGAAAAAAAACACTTATATCTAAAAAGTCCTTATAACTCCACCAAGAAGAAAAAAAAAACAGCTTGCCAAAATATAGCCTTGAATTGAGCAACTAGTCTCCTATTTCTTCTTATAAAATATACTGGCAAAGACCAACAAACCCACAGTGCTCCAGAGAAACCCATCCATCCCCACATTCCATGGCTTCAGGGCTATTCCCATAAATACAGGGTCATGAAAAGCGGCCTGCAAACTCCAGCAGCAACCCTCCAGTTTAAAGAGAAAAGTGAAGACAGAGGCATGAACATGCTGTTCTCACAATCTGAGCATCCTTTAGAAAAGTCAGCGGGCACTGCCCAGCCTACCTTAGAAACCTACCAACAAAATGCTGCACAATACAGATGATGAACAGAGAAATGTGAAGTTTACTTTGCATTCTTTATGAACCAGGTCAGTTCAGCATATTAATACACTAAACACTAATATAACAAAATTTCGGGGAAAAAGAATGTTCGAGTCCTTGACAGCGGCTTACTTACCTCAAAGTCAACTTAATACCCCAAAGTTTCAATGTTCTAAGAAATGGAAATGGCCCTTTAGTTCAACACATTCCATCCCAAGAAAAACTGTGTGCTTCTGAATTCTAAAAATAAAGATGTACAAGCTTCTGGGTTTCTTTTTTTTTCCATTTTCAATTATAATATACCTTAAGTAAAAATATTAACAATATAATAATAACTGCCATATTCCCTAAAACTGAGGGATTTGTTTCACGCTCCTAAATAACTTCCATTTTTATTACACATTATTATAAAAGACATCAACTGAGAGATTTTAATGTATCAAACTTTGCTAAAATTTTCATATGCATCATTACATAAAAGAACCACTAAATTACATATCTTAAAGCACACTGTCAGGTTTTAACTGCTTCTTAATACTATTAATTAAGAACATGGTGATGACGAAAAAATATTCCTGCAAGTCTACATAAAAAAAGCAGAATAAGTGTAATCAGAGGGGTAATTAAAATAAGTAAGGCATTTGTAGCATTAATAATCTTAACACAATATAAATGTCATTAGGCACAAATTTTTCACTAGATATTGTTACTGGGCATGTTTAAAATAAACCATACAAGGGGTTAAAAATAACTACACTAAAAGGCCAAGAGCCTTGCAGCCAAGTTGAGCCAACATTCCCTTCTCTCCTCCCCTCCCCTCCCAATCCTGTCCAGTCCAGAATGAATTGCACGCCCCACTGCACAGGCCCAAAAAGGTCACAGGAGATGGCAGACACTTTTGTAAGAGAACAGAAATAACTCGGCAGCTTTGTTAGCGTGGTCGCTTTTCATCAGTGTGTTCAAAATCCTTTAATTAGCACTCTGTCTACACAGGGAAAGCATTTCTGTGCCAGGGAAAGGCATGGATGTATGTATGTATGCAGTGTTCCCCGTATCAGCATCACAACACGGAGCTAGCACCTCACTGCCTGCCAGGGAACTGAAGCACATGAAAGTCTGTGATGTTGGCACCACACAACAGATATGTATGCTTTACATCTCTATTACCAAACAACAAGGCAATGGTTGAGTTTGCTTCGGTTGGGTACCAATTCATTTCTGGACCTTTTCTCATCAAAGCTTGAAATACTTTAAACTAAGGGAGGGGAGGTGGCTTAGCAGGTAGAAGGCCCCTGAGCTCAGCCCCAGGAAGTCACAGGAGGAAGGAGACAGGAGACTCGTACAGTTGTCCTCTCACTTGTGTGCCCCGTACCATAGCATGCTCGTGCACACAAACGAGCACAAGTACTCACATGCATGCACACGCACACTCACACAAGTAAACAATAAGTGCTGTAAGAAGCTTTTAAACAACAGTTTTCTTTAGTAAATTAAAATAGGAAGCGAAAAGTTAATATTAAAAAAGTTTAGATAAAACCATGGTATTTCATCCTCATCACAGATCTTCAGTACCAAAGCACGACCTCACACGACTAAATTAAATCCTAACAACACTTTCACATGGAAACTGCACATTTAAAATTAAACACAAAGTCTTAGAACTTACATATCATTCAAATACACTTTCCTGAAAAATACAATTAACTAAAATCTAGAAAAATATTTGCAACAGTTAAAAATAAGCTATTTGTAAATAAGCAGGGGGCATTAACTTTTCTTAAATAGAAGGAAAAGAAGAAAATAACAAAGGGAAGGAAAGGAGAGAGGGAGCGAGGGCGGGAAGGAAGGAGGCGGAAAGAAGGAAGGAAGGAAGGAAGGACGGAAGGAAGGAACGAAGGGAAGGAAGGAAGGAGGAACATAGGGTAAAAAGAAGATGGAGAGAATGGTGACTCTAAGGAAACTTAGAAAAGCAAGGTATGGGAACTATATATAATATACTAATATTTTAACAAATAAAGTTCATATTCAGAAGAATATGCAACAAATCTCTAGAAAGTTATACAAGCAGAAGGCTGGGAAGATGGCTCGGTGGGTAAAGACGCTTGCTGCACAGGCCTCCGACACCCAGATTTAAAAGGCTGTGTCAATGGGCAGACAGGCCAATCCTAAGAAAGCTCACTGACCAACCAGCCTAATGGTGAACTTCCGGTTCAGGGAGTCCCTGTCTCACAGCAGAAAGGCAGACAGTGATGGAGGCAGATACCCAACTTCCTGTCTGGCCTGTCCATGAGCATGCACACCAACATACTCACATACGTACAAACACACACACACACACACACACACACACACACACACACACACACACACACGAAGTTATGCAAAAAAATAATAGTAAAAAAATAATAGTAATAATTCTCTTTTGGTGAGTGAAACTGTACTTGACACAGTCTCAATAAATAGAAATCTTAATTATTCCTTTCTCAGAATCATCAAGACATTCCAAGCTCAGACACCTCTACTCTCAGCACTCAGGAGTTAGAGTTCAGTGTCTCTCTATGAGTTCAAGGTGAGCCTGGTCTACACAGCAAGCTCCAGGCCATCCAGAGCTACAGTGAGTCTCAACCATTTTCTCCCCCGACTCATTCATTCCTTTTCCTTCTCCCTCTCTCTCCTTCTCTCTCTTCTTCTTCTTCTTCTTCTTCTTCTCTCTCTCTCTCTCTCTCTCCACACACACACACACACACACACACACACACACACACACTGCATTCAGCTAAATCCCAATGAGGTAAAAAGTCGAATCCCAAACAGTCATAGGCTGACAATCTAGCTGGAGATCCATACCCTTCCTTCTCTCCACAGATCTAAGTAGCTTTTTTCCATCTTACTCATGACTATTACCTCCACCAGAATATGGGGTGAAGAAACAATACCAAATCCAGTCATGACAGTATTGGGAACTGAGAGGAGCCACTGAAACTTGATAGTACAATGCCACACAAGTATTTTTGAAGAAACTAAAGCCCAGAGAATTTCCCAAACTAGGAGCAATTCAAAACCTTAGCACTGGCTCCTGGGTTAGAGGTTTTCTATTTGGTTTTGTTAATACCGGAGGAAGCGAAAACAAGCTGAAGAGAAATAAACTTGTCCTTGTTAAGTACCTTCCCTCGTCATCTTTATTAGATAGCCAAACTTGGTGGGAGGAAACAAAGATCCCACAAGTGTAGAAAGTGTAGTACAGGTCATCAGAGACTTGAGCAGAACAGTCCTGAGGGTCCCAGGACCAAACAGTGGATCAATGGAGTAACATCTGAAAAGGGTGCTTACACTAGAGATTGTCAGGGGCATGTTGAAATCCTTGCCCCCTTGGAGACGGAAGCCCCAAGGGGCTGGGCCGACCAACGACACACTGTAGTTGCTCATGGTTCCAAGGTTCGATGTGCAGTTCCAAAAAAAAATGCAAGAAACTACAAAAGAAAATAAGATGGTTAATAAAAATGTTCATTGGAAACTGAATTACAGATATCAACGCACTGTCTGTCAAGCCAACAAAACTATTCAGTATTTTGGGTTGGGATGAAAGGACATACAGATTATAGCTAGCAAACTCTTGATTAATCTCAGCTGAGGAAAAGGAATCCATGAGCTAATCAACATTTATCCAATGCTCATGCCAACTCCCTGTCAGAAAGTACTCTTAGACATCTGTCCAGATTTACAAATCGCAAAAACCAAACTTTGTGGATTCTCACATACGAACTTCAATATCTTGATGGCGGAATTATAGACCCAGAGCAGAATCAGATTTTACTTCGACTGTAGCTTAGGGTGACTGTCCTCCTGCGCATCCTTTTTTACTGTCATCAGCAGGAACACTTTGGATCTCACGTACTGCAGTTACGTGACCACATCAGAGAACGGCAGGTCTGCTGGCTCTGTTTGTGTCTTCTAAATAATTAACTAGTTAAAGATGAGATGAGCCCAAACTATCCTAATTAAGGACGGCAACTCATAGCCTCTTCTACAGGAATATGGCATTTCCCATAGTCAAGGGAATTTCATGTGTTGCTTTACTCTCAGTGGGTTCAGATACCTACTTGTGCTTCTGAATTTGGTGTGCTGGGACAAAACTTTCAGTGGGTTTTAACAGTAGAAAAGTATATTAAGGCAGGAAAGATAAGGCGGTTGATGTTAACGGTTCAGATTTTCTAAGGAAGAATGATGTGTGTCTTAAACTGGGGGTTTTGTGTTGTTCTTCGTTGATTTGTTTCTGGGGTGAGAATTGAACCTAAGACCTTATTGTCTTTTTATAAAAGCAATCCTAGGCTATATTCTAGAACAAGTGGTATTTTAGTCTAAATCTTTGTTTTCTTTTATACTCATATATCATCCAGCAGAGAGTAAGTGTCCTGAGCCAATAAATGAGGCAATACTAACCATAACTGAAGTACAAGGTTAACCTTAATGAAACTAAATTGGAGTCTTTGAAAATTACCATGATACTGTCCTTTTTCCCCTGTCTTGCTGTAGTGAGACTCATAATGACTCCAGGGTAGATCTTTCAAAATTTACTTAAGAGTGTCCTATTAGTAATCAGAAGGCATTGGGAAGAATGAAGGTAGTTTCCTCCTTAAAAAGAATATTAAAGATATACAGTTCTTCCATTTAGAAAGTATGGTAGGTAGGATTTCATAACTTTAAAAACACTTGTCAAAACAAGGCTTTAAGGAATGGAAATATAGCTCAAAGGTAGAGTTTGTCAAGCGTCTGTGAGAGCGTAGGACCAATTCCCAGTGCAAAAACAAACAAGCAAACAAAAATATATTTCTGACTTCCATAGAAAATCTGTCCTGTTAAATCAACCACCTTCATATACTATGTTTTAAATCTACTCAGAGGTCTAGCCATGGTATCAAGTCCAGCAGCAGATGTCCCTCTGAGGAGAAGGCAAACAAATTCCTTCCTCTCAAATGGGTAAAAAAGGTACAACACTTTAAAGGAAATCTAGTTTTTAAAGAAAATGACGTCAAGGGCAATGTGCACGGTGAAGCTTTTCAGATGGAAAGGTAGTACTGAACTACTACAGAGTGCCCGTACTTTAGTACACACACTCTCCGAGGGAAGCACGGAGCTGGAGGAAGCTCAGCAGAACCTTCACATTCTTCCCTGGGCTCAGGTAAAAGATTCAAAAAGGACAGTAAGCAACGACCATACCCAAAGGACGTCAGAAATCAAACCGCTAAACTGCAGGTGAAAAACGAATGGGAGGGAATTATTAACATGCCACACAAGCTCGCCTTCCCCTTTGAAAAAGATCTCCGCAGGACCAGCGGAGAAAGACCAGCAGAGGCAGTCTTGATAATGACATGCAGTACAAATAAATCTGGAAGCCAACCGATACTTCACAGGCCACTGTCCTTTTGTAATCTTTAACTATGTCAAGGGAAGAACGTGAAAGTTATGTTGAACTTCCTCCAGTTCCACGCTTCCCTAGGAGAGAATGTATTGTATGTATGTATCAACTCGCATCCATGTACCTTCCCTTTTCTTAGGGACTCCCTTCCCGATTTCTCCCACTTGTTAAAATTTCTAGCACTGGCCAGGTCAGCCACACGATAAAACCGGTTGTCTTTTTCTCTAACTTCCCCTTCTGCAGGCTTCACTTGGAATTCATTTGTCTTTAAATACTCTGATCCTTAAGCAATGGCAATATTTTTATTGGTCTTTTCCAAGTCTCCCCCATGTGGTTATTAGTGCCCAAACCCTAAAATACCAACAGAACAGGCAGGAAATGACAGCTTATTCTGCTTTCAAACAAGTAAAAATTTTGAAATTTCTGCGGAGTTCTGGGGTTGGGGGGGTGCTATCTAAATTATTCTTACGTCTAGAGCTAGTGAGGAAGGCTGGAGGTGGTTTCCCACACTTCTAGGTCCGCTTCCTTGGTGAGCGAAAAGGGACAAGCCCTTCAATTAAAGGAGACTGTCTAGAGATTCTTTCTCTCCTGCTGAGATAGAATGGTGGGAGGGCTGAAGAACTCAGGCGCAGGAGGAAAGCGGACGAGACGTTTCCCAGCTGAGGTTCACGCCTAGCCCTGTTGGCCAAATAAGGTTCCCCAGCCAGCAGTTTCCGTGGCAGGCGGGTTCAGACGTCCTCGGGTCAAGGAGGAGGACCTGGGATAGGACCCGGCGATCACACCCTAGACCTGCCCTGCCCAGTCCAGTCACGAATTTTCTTTCCAAGTTCTGCCCAGTCCAGACGCCCTTCCTTTTTCCACTCATTGTCAAACGCAGCAGAAGCGCCGTCCGGCAAAAAGCCCCAACAAAATAAACCGGTTTCAAAACCCCGGCGATCGTAACCAATTTGCCAGATGGGCTTTTATTTCTGGGAGCACCGACTTTGCCCCCAGCAGGTTACACAATGGCAAATATCGAACGGAAGGGAAAGAAGCGCTTCTCCGCCGCCTGGGAGCCAGCAAACAAAACAGCGCCGCTCTCCCGTGCGGGCGCACCTTCTCCGC